ACTCTTGTGATTTCCTATGGTTTTCTTTACTTTAATCTCTTAATCCCATCATCTTCGTAAGCTGAGGATGAATGTCGCCTCAGGACCCTGTGATGATTGTGTTAACTGCACAAATTGTTTATAGAACATGTGTATTTGAACAATATAAAATCTGGCACCTTAAGAGCAGGGTAACAGTGATTTTCAGGGAACAAGGGAGATAACCTTAAAAGTCTGACTGTCTGTGGGCCGGGTGGAACAGAGCCATATTTCTCTTATTTCTGAAAATGGGTAAGATAAATATCACTGAATTTTTTCCCCAGTAAGGAATATGAATAAGTAACAGCCCTGGGAAAAGAACGCATTTCCAGAGGAGGCCTCTGAAATGGCCGCTCTGGGGGTGCCTGCCTTATGCAGATGTAAATAGATGAAAATAGGGATGAAACATGCCCTAGTCTCCTGCAGTGTCCCCAGGCCCCCAGGCTTGCTAGGATTAGGAAATTCCAGCCTGGCAAATTCTGGTCAGACCACAAAAATAATAACAAAGAGATTAAAGGGAAATTTCTGGAGGTGATGGACAGGCTTATGGTAAGGATTGTGGTGATGGTTTCACGGAAGTATACTTGTCTCCAAGCTCCTCAAGTTGTATATGTTAAATATGTACAGCTTTTTGTATATTAACCATACATTGATAGAGTGGTTTAAAATGAAGGAATAAAACAGTGCATATCTCATGAAATTAAAAAAAGTATCACTTTTCAACTACCTTGTTAAATTACAAACAATGCAATAAAATAAATAAATAAAAGTTTAGGTTAGGCCCAGTGCGGTAGCTCACACCTGTAATCCCAGCACTTTGGGAGGCCGAGGCGAGTGGATCACGAGGTCAGGAGATTGAGACCATCCTGGCTAACACGGTGAGGCCCCATCTCTACTAAAAATACAACAATTAGCCAGGCATGGTGGCGGGCGCCTGTAGTCCCAGCTACTCAGAAGGCTGAGGCATGAGAATTGCTTGAACCTGGGAGGCAGAGGTTGCAGTGAGCTGAGATTGCGCCACGGCACTCCAGCCGGGAGGACGGAGGAAAACCCCCCCTTAAAAAAAAAAAAAAAAAAAAAAAAGTTTAGGTTAAACCAGAAGCTCTGTGTGGCAAACATTGGTTTCTTTTTCAGAGGGGAAGTTCAAGTTCAATACCACTCAGCAGACATGAGTGAGAGTAGGGAGAGGGATATTTGTTATTTTCTCTCTTGTTAAAGTTGTTGCTGGGGTCTTTGTTTGAGCCGAGTTCAAACCAGCCAAAGCTCAGTGAGCAGAAATGGAAGTGACACTGGTAAAAGGAACTGTATCTTCACTTTAGAGAAAGGGTTCAAAAAGAAAAGAAATGCTCCCTAGAGTTTCAGCCAATGCAGCTCAGAACCATGTCCTTTCCGAATGGTGACTGTGAAGGGACCAGATGAGCGCAGTTCACAATGACTGTCTGTCTGGTGCTCTCAGGGAATTTAACCATTGTTTTAGGTTCATCATATATTAATCACATTACATACCCATGAGAAGTTTCAATGATTTAAAGGTCTAGCCTCACTTTGGCTTCCTGCCAACCCAGAGAACATTGGTTGGTCCAATCTCCTTGTTCCTATTGTTAAAAAGTAAACTGACATTAATGTTACAATGTATGTTATTTGGTTGATGAATACCCTAAAGACCCTGACTCCATCACTATGCAATCTATGCATGGAACAAAATGGCCCTTCTACTCCCATAAATCTATACAAATAAAAAAGTAAACCGAGGCACAATACAATTTTACAGTGGTTCTGAACCAGCCATGATTCATGAACCAGAAGTGGTTGAGGAGCTCCATGGAGGGAACACAAGAGAAGGCTTTTTCAGGACAGAGACAGAAGTAGAGCAAAGACAGCGCTTGAATGTTTGCAGTTATACAGCTACCTTATTTGGTCTATCTCACTGGAAAGTCCTTAGTTATATAAGTTTGTTGGCTGCTTCTGATTGGTTGTGCTTATGTTTTTCTTTAATATAGGCATTTACAAGATAGAGTGCTCAAGTTATCATGTTTGCATCTGTCGCTTATGTTTGCACACCAAGCCAGGTCGCGGTTGTTCATGAGTTTGCTGGTTTGGTATGTTCCTGGATTCCTCTGGCCTGGTCTCCATTTTAATGTACTTTAACGCCATGAATAAAGGTTCACTTCTGAGACTCTAAGAGCCAGTTTAAATTAAACCTATGTGTGATATTGCCTCAAATACCCAACAGCTCAGTGACAGTTGGACATTCATTGCTGGCACAAAGGTTAAGTATTACTGAGCAATTAGTTCTCTCTATATTTGGCCCTTACAGAGCCTGGCAAAGTGTAATTATTGTGTTGTTCAGTACTAATCCGCCTTTTCACATAGATGCATTGAGAAGAGAGTCTTCTGTTGGCCCCACAATTTCAGTTCTCTATATTTGTGGTTAGAAGCTGCGGTGATGCAATTCTCATGTATAAATTCATCCATTCGGGAGATTGTAAAGACGATCCCATAAAGCCTCAGTATTGTAGGTGCTGATAATGATGATAATTAAAATGATAAACTTTCCCTTATAAATCTTATAATGAATTGACTAGACTGCCTACAGACTATACACTATCTTTGCCTATAGTTAAAATGGTTGTAATTGGCCGGGCATGGTGGCTCACTCCTGTAATCCCAGCACTTTGGGAGGCCGAGGTGGGTGAATCATGATGTCAGGAGATAGAGACCATCCTGGCTAACACAGTGAAACCCCGTCTCTACTAAAAATACAAAAAATTAGCCAGGCATCATGGCACGTGCCTGTAATCCCAGCTACTCGGGAGGCTGAGGCAGGAGAATTATTTGAAACCAGGAGGTGGAGGTTGCAGTGAGCCGAGATCACACCATTGCACTCCAGCCAGGGTGACAGAGCCAGACTCTGTCTCAGGAAAAAATAAATAAATAAAAACGGTTGTTTTATTAAGAAATGTTATTAGGAGCGAGCAGAGAAGAACAGTGGCTGTGTAGTTCAGCATGTCAGTGGTAAGTTGCTAATTATATCTGGCTTGTCACTCCAGTCTCTGTAACTTGCTGTGTTTTGTCAAGTCATTCTCCCAGAAATTTCGTGTATATTATCTTACTAAATTCTCATTAAAATGGTCCCTCAAATGGAAGGAGGGAACTTAGAGTTTTTGGAATATGAATAAATCTAAGGGACTTTGGCTTCTAGAATTCCGTAGATCTCAGTTCTGCTGGGAATATACAGCTTCCCTTTATTCTGAGATTGGCTGATCTGTAATGCTATGAAATATCAGTGTTTACTAAATTTGTTATTTTACATTTATGGGCATACGTTATTTTTATTTAATTCTCTCTCTCTCTTTTTTTGAGACAGGGTCTCACTCTGTTACCCAGGCTGGAGTGCGGTGGAACGCTCATGACTCAATGCAAAACTTGAATTTACCTGGGCTAAAGTGATCCTCCCACCTCAGTCTCCCAAGGAGCTGAGACTACAGGCATGCACTACTACACCCAGCTAATTTTTGTAATTTTTGTAGAGATGGAGTTTTGCCATGTTGCCCAGGCCGGTCTTGAACTCCTAGGCTCAAGCGATCTCCCAAAGTGCTGGGATTACAGACATGATCCACTGCCCGCAGCCTTAATTCTTTTAAAAAGAGGAAAATGAGGTTTTTCACTACAGCTCCAACCACCATCATAGCTAAATAAGTTAATGCATGTAGTTAAGAAATGTACAGTGGAGAGAAAACAGTCTGTGTGGTATTTAGAAACTAGCAAGAATTAAGGACCAATAATATCTGAATATGAACAGATATTAAGCCAAAACTACTGCATTAGGAGACCATCAGTACAATTTACTTATTGAAAGCCATTCGCTAGTCAACCAGTATCGTGGGAAATTTAATCTGTATAAGGAGTCAAAAGGCGTAAGGGATAGGTATGAAGGATTGTTGAGACAATGTGTTTTATTTCGCTAATAATGCATACGACACCATTCCAATTTTTTTAAACTTAAAACAACAACTGTCATCGATTTGCTTGCTTCTCAAGCCTTGGGAATCGTGTTTGGCAATGAGACCTTGCTGCATGATTGCTAATATCCCATTGGCCAAAGCTAGTCAAATGGCCAAGCCCAGAGTCAGCATGGGAGAAGAACACACAAGGGTTTGAATTCTGGGGAGGAGTCTCTTCCATTGAAGGCCGAAGGAACAGTCTACCTCAGAGGATAGCTGGGGAGCTACAATACACAGAATAAACCTCACCCTGTCCTCAAGGCGCCCACAGAGAAGAAACCTTTTGAATATTAGTGAAGTTTCCTGGACATCCCCATGGATAGATGTGAGGGACAGTCACTTACTCAGGACATCTGTTTGCTTGTGGTATTATGTTTCAGATGTCACAGATGAAAATCAGAGACACGTAGCCATGAGCCCAGTAACTACAAAGTGGTCTAGCTAAAGCTGGAGCCCACGGGAGGGCATTCTGCCCCGTGATGCGCGCTTGTTTCTTGCCATCAGTTCTGCAATCAGTTCAAGCTAATGTCATGTCCCAGCCGTCCAGTTGTTTTATGACTTGTGTGATAGACGCGTATGGTGGTTTGTGGCATGTCTTTAGGCAAGTCACTCACCTCTCTAGGTTTCGTTTTCCTGATTTCTCAAACAAGGGAGCGAGGTTAGGTGGTCTACAGTTCCTTCAATTGTGATATTTCACTGTGTAACAGCATAGTTATAATATATCATAGTACATCTGTAATGAAAAAAAGTGAGTTCATTTCTTAACAAGCACATTCACTTAACTAGTTGGAGTCATTAAAGCGAATTAAGAACGAAATGCCTAGTTAATCTGAACTTTACTGGGCATACTGATTTGTTCCCTAACGCGTCTGACCATTGAAAACTGGATCAGCAGGAACGGGATTGCCTCTCGGCTTTGCCATGATCGGCTCTTCCTTTGCTGTGAAACTCAGTTTCTTCCTGGGTCAAGAGGTTAACTTCTGCCAGTGTTATTTTACAGCGTTGCAAAGAGATAAAAGCCAGACAGAAGAAAGTACTTTAGCTTTGATTAGGGATTTTTTTTTCTGTCCCTGTGACCGTACACTACCCAATTCTGACAGCTTTGCATGAGTCTAGCAGAAAATCGAGGGATTCACTGTTATTCGTTAACTTGTAGAGGTCCAGACCCGTCCACATCAAATGGTGAGGTCCCCACTTTCGACTTCAGCTGTTGCTAAATCTGTGACCCTTTTAATGAAATCCAAGGATCTCAGCTTTAAAAAAGTTAAAATAAAATAAAAACAAGATGTTTCTCGAAGCAGTTTGAAACACCTCTCTGAGGTGTCGGAGATTGTTTTTGTTTTCTCCCTTTGCCCTTCTTGGAATGCACCAAACATAAAAGCATTTTTTTCAAGCTTTACTTTCACTTTCGAGAGTGCCGCCTATTTGCCACACACTTCCCTGATGAAATGTCTGGATTTGGACTAAAGAAAAAAGGAATGGCCAGCAGTCATCCAAGTAAGTGAAGGTGTTCATTTCACGTTCTTACTGGGCAAGGTCTCTCTTGCTGAGTAGAATTCGTTAGTAGAATGTGCATGGTTTTAACCTTCTTTGGTCTTTCTTTGATCTGGTGCTTGAAATCCAGTCAGAATCATTCAGGAAGGAAAGTGGAAGAACCGGGAGATGACATGGGCTTGGGAGAAGGGTATAACTCAGAATACAAGTAAAAGCACCAGTATCTGGTTAATTCGATCATATGTTTATGCAGTATTTAGTTTTTTTCCTCTGTAGCATTCTGTACCTGGAAAAAACACATTAGGGAAGCTATGGAAATCATTTTGCAACACCTTTTTAACAAATCACATCTTTACCTTAAAGAAACAAAACTCCAAGATGTTAAAAGAGCGTGTCCCCTTTTGTTAGTTTTATTGGCAGGAGGGGAGACAGGAGCTGGCATTGTATGACAATGTCTTGGATAGGAGAGAACATTCAGGTGTGCCTAGGAGTAAGTAAATGGCTTTCTTTCACCTCACGAAGGATAATGGAAGAAGTGGGGAAGTGGAAAGATGTTCAGGTGTACAGGAAGATCAGAAACTGGCATTGGCAATTGTGGGTACTCGGGCGAAAATGGAGTTGGCTTCAGCAAGTTGACTCCCAGGTTTACAGATGATTATGTGCTGGTATGTGTCTGCACAGGGGCGTGCCTATGTATTAACCTAATACAAAGGTTGCAAAGTTTACAAATCAAACTATGAATAGTGGTTAACTCCAGGTAGTCTTTCCAGACCCCGTGTCCTAACCATTAGGCAACATGGTCTCTCACTTGGACAAAGAATGTGAATTCCATGTGCCCTTACAAAATATTTCCAAAATTCTAAGGCCAAGTGAGACTCTTTTTAATTGCTTCTTCATTTTCTTTATTTCTGTTAGATCTCATTCAACAGCAACTTTTTCTTCACTCTCATTTCATCCTTTAACTGCATTTTTGCTTGTTTTACTGAAGCATGTCCTGGAATAACGTTTTCAGACAGATCATATGGCTATGAACTTACTGCATTTTTGCATATCTCAAAATACTCGTACCTTTTTCTTTAGTTATTCAGGTGGATGTGAAATTTTTTTTTATTTTATTTCATTTCATTTCATTTATTGATTTAGAAACAAGGTCTCGCTGTGTTGCCCAGGCTAAAGTACAGTGGCATGATTGTGGCTCACTGCAGCCTTGACCTCCCTGGCTCAAGCAATTCTCACACCTCAGTGTCCCGAGTAGCTGGGACCACAGGTGTGAACCACTATGCCCAGCTAATTTTTTAAAACTTTTTGGTGGAGATGAGGTTTCCCTATGTTGCCCAGGCTGGTCCCAAACTCCTGGGCTCAAGGGATCCTCCAGCCTCAGCTTCCTAAAGTGATGGGATTCCAGGCATGAGCCACAGGTAATTTTTTTGGCCTGGCCAAAGGTAATTTTCTTGTTTTTTAGAGAGAGGGTCTTGCTCTGTTGCCCAGGCTGGAGTGCAGTGGTGTGATCATGATTCATTGCAGCCTCAACCTCCTGGGCTCAAGCGATCCTCCTGCCTCAGCCTCCGAAGTAGCTGGAACTACAGGCTTGTGCCACCACACTTGGCTAATTTCTAATTTTTTTTTTTTTTTTTTTTTTTTAGATACGGGGTCTCACTATGTTGCCCAGGCTAGTCTTGAACTCCTGGTCTCAAGTATCCTTCCGCCTACCCCTTCTGAAGTGCTGGGATTACAGGGATGAGCCACTATAACCCTTGCCTGGATATGAAATTTTAAATTCAAAATAATTGTCTCTAAATGTTTGGAAAGCTTATCTCTATTATTTTCCAGTGGTTCATTATTGGGAGAACCTGCTCCTGATGTTTAACCTGGGTTCTTTTCTATTTCCCAAGTGTCTCAGCTGGGTTGAGAAATAAAGGGAAAGAGCACAAGAGAGAGAAATTTAGAGAGAGAAATTTAAAGCTGGGTGTCCGGGGGAGACATCACATGTCGGCAGGATCCGTGATGCTCCCTGAGCCATAAAACCAGCAAGCTTTTATTAGCGATTTTCAAAAGGAGAGGGAGTGCACGAATAGGGTGTGGGTCACAGAGATCACATGCTTCACAAGGTAATAAAATATCACAAAGCAAATGGAGGCAGGGTGAGATCACAGGACCACCAGATGGGGTGAAATTAAAATTGCTAATGAAGTTTTGGGTATGCATTGTCCTCGATAACATCTTATCAGGAAACAGGGTTTGAGAGCAGACAACCTGTCTGACCAAATTTATTAGGTGGGAATTTTCCTCATCCTAATCAGCCTGGGAGTGCTACAGGGGACCAGGGCTTAGTTCATTTCATCCCTTCGGCTTTGACCATAAAAGACGGCACACACTTCCAAAGGAGCCGTTTATAGGCTTACCCTCAGAGTGCATTCTCTTTCTCAGGGATGTTCCTTGCTGAGAAGAAGAATTCAGCGATATTTCTCCTATTTGCTTATGAAAGAGGAGAAATATAGCTCTGTTCCGTCTGGCTCACCTGCGGCCAGTTCAAAGTTACCCCTCGTGTTCCCTGAACATCGCTGTTATCCTCTTCTATTTTTTTTTAAGATGCCCAGATTTCATATTGTTCAAACACACATGTTCTACAAACAATTTGTGCAGTTGATACAATCACAGGGTCCTGAGGCGACATTCATCCTCCTCAGTTTACGAAGAAGATGACGGGATTAAGAGATTAAAGACAAGACAGGCATAGGAAAACACAAGGGTATTGACTGGGGAAGTGATAAGTGTCCATGAAATCTTCACAATTTATGTTCAGAGATTACAGTAAAGACAGGTGTAAGAAATTATAAAAGTATTAATTTGGGGAACTAATACATGTCCATGAAATCTTCACAATTTATATTCTTCTGCTGCGACTTCAGCCAGTCCCTCCGTTTGGGGTCCCTGACTTCCCGCAACATCTCTCCTTTTCTTTTTATATAAATGTGCCTTGGCGATGAAGGCTTGTTCGTTCTCTCGATTTTGATGCAGGATTCTTTGACTGGCCCGGCACACCAAAAACAAGCCAATTAAACAGAGAAACGTAATTCCAAAATTCACCACAGTAGAGCCCCCAGTAGACTTGATCCAAGTCATGGGGTTCAATCCATAAAGATTTTCCGCCACCTGACCTAAGGCCTCAGCTCCCGGCACAATGGATAAGTGAGCTTGAGAGGCTTCAAAAATTTGTTTCTTTAATTTAGTTAGGTCCAATGATAAATTATCTTCCCTTCCCAGAAGGTGTCCCTGGACCATTTCCCATGAATGATCAGTCTCGTTATAGGAATACGGGGTGATACAGAAGTCAGAAGTATTCCAGTCGCACTGCATTTGCATGCGATGTTCGAGACTCACTACCCGATCTCCAAGCCAAGTAACAGACTGTCTTAAGTCATTAATTTGATTAGCCAAGTTTTGATCAATGCCTTGTTGAGAATTCCACATTTGGATGGAATTGGCTTGCCAATCATTAACAAAATGAGCCATTTAAATAGATCGATGTAACGCCATTCTGGCAGTGGTGACCAGTGCAGTGACTGTAATGATCACAGCGATTATAGTGAAAACAAATCTCTTAGATCTTTTTAGAATTCGCTGTAGCACTTCATTCATTAAATGTATTGAGGGGGATGATTCCCAAAGTCGGCAAAGTTACTGGAATCCAGATTCCTTCTCGAGCTCGAACCTACATTACACTTTTCCTGGAGTCAAAATGGGAGTTAATACAAGTGTACAAATGACAATTAATGCATTGGACAGTTTGATTGTTCGTCCAAATTTTTATATTTTCCACTAACAGCATGTAAGGAGGCTTAACACAGCTCTGTATGGGAACAGTCAGGTTGGAGGTAAGTAAAGCAGAATGTCTGGAGCTACACTGATACTGAGAGAAGGGGATGGTAGTGGGGACAACAGACAGAATAAGTTCCCTTTCCCATACTCACAGTCCAGACATGGCAATAGCCAATTTCCAAAGTTCTGGGTGTTCTGGGCTCAGAATGGGGAGTATCATACGAGGCCTCGGCGGGGAGCGGGGGGAGGGTAATGCCTTTATCTTCCCATTTTACGGGAAAGAATGAGCTGAACCTCCTATGCAAAGTAGAAGAATGATTCTCATTCTCCCGATAAGAAATAAAATAAGTAGCCTCCAGGCATTCCTTTCCGCCAGAGGAGCAATTGTTTCGTAAACAGCCCTTTGGTGCCCAGTCTGTTACTAAACCATAGGAGTCATTTTTTGATATTACTGCATGTGAGTTAACACAATCTTCCCAAATTAAAGTTTTAGATGGGCCCTCCCTCAAAATTTTTTGGGCATGGTTTTCCTGCAGGTTTGTATGGAAAGTATGGGGCATCTCCCATTACTCCCCCTTTCATTTGTTTTAAAGGAGAAAGGGCAAGGCCAGAGACCAAATGTCCCGGTTCCTCTGTAGCTGATCTCTCCGGAAGACAGGCAGCCCAGACTTGAGTTTCTAGATGAATACAACCAGGTGCATGTCTGAGGCACAGAGGGGGGTATTTGTAACCCATGGTAACATTAAATGCAGTGCCTTCTTCTCCTGGTTGAGCAGGGCAGTGGTCATCTGTAGCTCCAGGCATCCACACACTATCATTAGTGCAGATTTCCACAGGAGCCTCCATCCAGGTGAGAGGTCGAATAAGTGGAGGGAAAGGCACATAAGCCCAACAAGAATAATTGTGTGTAGCAGGTAAATCAGTGTGAGAGGAAACTGGTGAGACAGAAAGTATAAAGAGGAGAATCGTTAAATAAAACCCATTATAAGCGAGATTGAGTGCTGAAGGAAGAAGAGAAAAACAGAGGGATGTTATTTTCAGGCTAATAGAAATGGTGAGATTTTTAGGTTCGTAAGGAGAAAAAGAAAGGTAATTAGAAGTGGGATTAGTTAGATGAGTCTCCATTGCCATCAGAGAGGATTGAATTAGACCCATTGTGATTGTGTGCCAGCTTCTAAGAAGTTGGCACAGATCTCACCACGTCTGAGGGCAATCTCTGACACAGACGTCTTTTCTCTGTGGGTTTTGTTTGATGATCTGGTGAAACCCAAGCACATCCTCTTTCCCATGTTAAGTAGAATTAGAGATAATATTTAAAGATTTGGGGAAATCCTGTAAGGCAGTAATCACAGCAATTAACTCTGCCTTTTGAGCAGAAGTATAAGAAGTAGAAATAAGCTTGTCTATAGGACCTACATAGCCAGCATTACCATTGCTGGAGCCATCAGTGAGCACTGTCACAGCCTCAGGAATGGGCTGATCTTTGGTTAGTCGAAGGAGCACCCAAGATGTCATTTTTATAAAATCAAACAGTTCGTGTTTTGGATAATGATTGTTAATAACACCAGTAAAATCAGCCAAGTGAATTTGCCACAGTGCTCAATGTTGAAAGGCAGCCTGAACTTTGAGCCGATTTAAAGGAACTACAATTAAATTCGGATCAAATACAGAAATCTGAAGTATTGTACACCGAGTCTGGCCAATTATTACGGCAGTTTGGTCCAGATAGACAGACGAAGTTTTTGACACAGAATGAGGAAGAAACCACCACTCCACTAAATCATTATGTTGGACTGTTAGTCCAGTAGGGGAGTGTAATGAAGCGAAAACCAGAAGCTGAAAAGGCTGAAACGGCTGTCCTCTAGATAACGGGGCAGTCTGCATTCTTTCCTCTATGGATTCCAGTTCTAGTGAAGCCTCAGGGGTCAAAGTCCTGGGACTGCAGAGATGGGACTTTCCCCGCAGAGTAGAAAACAAGTTCAACAGTGCATAGGTCAGAATGCCTAAAGTAGGTCTTAAATAATTAATGTTACCCAAAAGTTTTTGGAAGTCATTTAAAGTTTTTAAGGAATTTCTCCTAATTTGAATTTTTTTGAGGTTGGATGCACTGTTTATTCGACCATCATTTCTAAATATTGAACAGGAGTGGTCTGTTGAATTTTATCCTGGGCGGTGTGTAATCCAGCCTCAGTAACACGGCGGCTCAAAATTTGATGACAGTCAATTAATTCTTTATCAGTGGGGGCAGCAATTAAAATATCATCAATATAATGAAGAATATAGGCCTGGGGAAATTGGGCTTGAACCGGTGACAGCACTTGTCCAACATAAAGCTGGCAGATTGTCGGGCTATTCAGGATTCCTTGAGGAAGTACTTTCCATTGATAACGAGCTGCAAGCTCCTGATTATTGATAGATGATACAGTAAAAGCAATTTTTTCACAATCCGATTTATGTAAAGCAATATGAAGAAACCAATCTTTAAGATCAGTAACTATGAGAGGCCAATGTTTAGGTATTGAAGCAGGGGCAGGTTTCATTATAGCGTGAATGGCCCTTAAGTCGGTTACCATCCACCACATGCCTGATTTCTTTTTTACTGGAAACACAGGAGAATTCCAGGGGGAAAGAGAGGGTCCCACATTTTTAAGCTGTAACTGTTCAGAAACCAACTGAGTTAAAGTCTATAGTTTTTCAAAGCCTAACTGGGCATAAGTATCAGAGAAACGATCGGAGCCTGTGAGCTGAGCCTGAGTAACTAGAATGCCATGAGTCTGATTTAGCTGAGCCTGCGGACAGGCCTCCTCTGACCACCAAGTACAAAATTGTAAATGCTCAGATGGGGTCAGAACAGCTTTTGTCAAAATGTCCCAGTCTAAAGGAAGCAAAGTGACCTCTGTACAAAAAGTTTGCAATATCATTTTAACCTAAGGAGAAGTAGGACCATACTGAGTACAAGCATCCTTAAATTTTTTTTTTTTTAAAGTAAGATTGAGCGGCGCATATCGATGCAGACCAGAATGAGAGTGTGAGAAAGGGGAATTGAAGGAGTAGAAGAAGCAGAAGTATACTGGTGATTACTGGCGTCCATGTGTGAAGAAGGACACAAAGAAGCAGGCTGAAGGGATGGCAACATGACCAGTTGAGGAACTGAAACGACAGGAGGGTGAGGGGCTGAAGTGGATAGGGGAAGGCCTGCAGAATTACAGGTAAATTGTAGTTTGGTCCCGGAGCCATTAGGTGACACCTAGAGACAAATGCTGCAAAGGTTTGAAGAGGGACGAATTAGCATATCTATGGTCCTGGGCTGTGTGAGTCACGGCCACGGCCACGGGAGCTGCAAGTACTTGCTCTTCGTGAAAAGAAGTAAGATCATCAAGGGGTAACGTTAAGCCAAAGTCACCAGAGTTAGACGTTGAATTTTCAGCATCGTTAGATGGAAGAGGAGTAGCTGAATGGAGAAGCTGATCAGATAACGAAGGCCGTGTGAGAGAAAAGTTGAGGAGGTATGGGGATGGCACGCACCAAGGCCCAATCATCCCAAGCGGTGACAGGAGCACAATTCCCTGTTGAGACAAAGTCCTGGAATGCTGTAAAAAGATCCAATACTTTTACATATATGCTTCCTTTTTTAGGAAACCAAGGAAAGTATTTTTCCACCGCCCTGAATAGAGAGACCATATTTCCCATGGGCACCCAAATCTTTGCTTGTTTTAACCGGGGTTTAATATAAAAGAGATAGGTATAATTTTTATACTCCATGTGTCCCATAGTTAATCCGGACCATACACAGACTGCTCACCAGTTATCAGGGAGTTGAACACACGTATCTGTGAACCAAGCCGATGTCGTTTCACCACACCTGCCACCTGCCAAAGGGAGTCAGGTTCCCACATGCACTTAGGAAGAAAGAAAGACCACCTTAGCGCCAGATATCGGGAGAACCCGCTCCCAATATTTAACGTGGGCTTTTCTGTTTCCTAAGTGTCACGGCTGGGTTGAGAAATAAAGGGAAAGAGCACAAGAGAGAGAAATTTAAAGCTGGATGTCCGGGGGAGACATCACATGTCAGCAGGATCCGTGATATTCCCCGAGCAGTAAAACCAGCAAGTTTTTATTAGCGATTTTCAAAAGGGGAGGGAGTGCATGAATAGGGTGTGGGTCACAGAGATCACACACTTAACAAGGTAATAAAATATCACAAAGCAAATGGAGGCAGTGCGAGATCACAGGACCACCGGATGAGGCGAAATTAAAATTGCTAATGAAGTTTCGGGCACGCATTGTCGTTGATAACATCTTATCAGGAAACAGGGTTTGAGAACAGATAACCTGTCTGACTAAAATTTATTAGGTGGGAATTTTCCTCATCCTAACCAGCCTCCCAGCGCTACAGGAGACCGGGGCTTATTTCATCCCTTCGACTTCGACCATAAAAGATGGCACACGCTTCCAAAGGGGCCGTCTATAGGCCTACCCTCAGGGTGCATTCTCTTTCTCAGGGATGTTCCTTGCTAAGAAAAAGAATTCAGCAATATTTCTCCTATTTAGAAATAGGAGAAATATAGCTCTGTTCCATCCGGCTCACCTGCGGCCAGTTCAAAGTTACCCCTCTTGTTGCCTGAACATCGCTGTTATCCTGTTCTTTTATTTTTAAGATGCCCAGATTTCATATTGTTCAAACACATGTGCTCTACAAACAATTTGTGCAGTTGATACAATCACAGGGTCCTGAGGCGACATTCATCCTCCTCAGTTTACGAAGAAGATGACGGGAGTAAGAGATTAAAGTAAAGACAGGCATAGGAAAACACAAGGATATTGATTGGGGAAGTGATAAGTGTCCATGAAATCTTCACAATTTATGTTCAGAGATTACAGTAAAGACAGGTGTAAGAAATTATGAAAGTATTAATTTGGGGAACTAATACATGCCCATGAAATCTTCACAATTTATATTCTTCTGCCATGACTTCAGCTGGTCCCTCCGTTCGGGGTCCCTGACTTCCCGCAACAGTTCACGTTACTAATGAGAAGTTTTTTATTAATCAAGATCTCTTTTCTTTGGAAATGAAGGCTTTAGGATTTCTGTGTGCATGGTCGCAATTCTGAAATTTCATAAGATTCTCTCCACGTTGGTTCCTCTTTCACCCCTCCCGCCTAGCATTAGGTGAGTTTTGCCCACTGATGAATTGTCTTCAGATGGGGAAAGTCCTTCAGTCATTCAGGGATATGCTTTGTAATGGATTAGTCCTCAGCAATTCTGACCTCTAGCCGGAGCCCTACCAGAGGGGCACCTCTCGCCTAAGCAAGGAGAATGTAGCGTAGGGACTTCCCCTGTGACTTGGTAAGTAGAGGGAGGAAGTTCTGAAGGAACTGGAAGAGAGGTTTGGGGGACTGTCAGAGAGGGGGTGGGTGGGGAACTGGTCCCTGGCATTCAAGAGGCATCATTGCCAGCCCTGTATTCTTCATGCACCTGGGCAAGTCAGCAACGTGCATCCTTGCTGGCCTGGCTGTGGCATTCCTCATGGCCTGTGGATATAAAGAATGTGCACAGCTCTACAATGATTAGTGCCAGAGTTGTAAAAGCCATGAGATGGGAATATTAGTTTATGGAAGCCAGATTTTTTTTTTTTTCTGTTTCTGAGAACTAAATTAGAATATTAGTAAAATCACTATTTTTAAGTGTATTAGAATAATTCTAAATACTCACATTAGTTCTGTTTTCCTAGGATTAGTGACCTAAGACGATTTTATTATCTGAAACTTACTGGAATAATTTTTGTGTCATGACTTTTCGATCTTGTGGAATATCTGTTCAGATATCATTACCATTGATTCATCTCCATAGTTTGTGGGTGTATTTGATTTTTTAAAATATCTGAAATTAGGTTTTGATCACACCAGAGAGTATCACATTGGGTACACATCCCACCGAAATAAAGTGTGACAATGTATGGAGATAAGAGTGGCTTTCCTGAGCTGATTAAATGCCCGTGGAAAACTACTGTATGAGTACATTCTCACATTGCTCTACAGAAATACCTGAGACCGGTCAGTTATAAAGAAAGAGGTTTAATTGGCTGATGGTTCTGTAAGCTGTACGGGCAACCTCTGCTTCCGGGGAAGCCTCAGGGAGCTTTTACCCATCACAGAAGGCAAAGCTGGAGCTGGAACCTTCACATGGCCAGAGCAGGAAGAAGAGAGAAGGAGAAGGCGTCACACACTTTTATTTATTTATTTATTTATTTATTTATTTATTTATTTATTATTTTGGGGGGAGCAGGAGTGGAGTTTCCCTCTGTTGCCCAGGCTAGAGTGCCATGTGGTGGGATCTCGGCTCACTGCAACCTCTGCCTCCGTAGTTCAAGCGATTCTCCTGCCTCAGCCTTCCCAGTAGCTGGGATTACAGGCACCCACCACCATGCCCAGCTAATTTTTGTATTTTAGTAGAGACAGGGTTACACCATGTTGGCCAGGTTGGTCTCGAACTCCTGATCTCAGGTGATCTGCCTGCCTTGGCCTCCCAAAGTGCTGGGGTTACAGGCATGAGCCACTGCAACTGGCCACCACACACTTTTAAATGACTGAATCTCCTAAGAATTCACTCACTCATTATCAGGAAAACAGTACCGAGAGGGTGGTGCTAAACCAACTGTGAGAACTCCGCCCCATGAGCCAGTCACCTCCCACCAGCCCCCACCTCCAACACTGGGGATTACAATTCGACATGTGATTTGGGTGGAGACACAGGGCCAAACCATATCAGCTATGTATTCAACATATATTTATTTCTTCAGAGCCAACAAAGTGGCAGGCGTTGTTCTAGGCACAGATAACACCATATGGAATAAGAACTATGTCCTCTACTATTATAGCTTCACATTCTAGTGAGAAGCAATAATTAATAATAAAGAATACACAACATTGGATAATTTCCATCAACCATAGCACAGAAAAAGCAATCTAGAAGAAGAGCAAGATGGGAGGGTTTGCACTTTGAACTTCAAGACTTGTTATAAAGCTAAAGTAATCTGAACAATGTGGTATTGGCCTAAGAACTGACAAATATTTCAGTGGAAGAGAGTAGACAGCCCAGAAATAGACCCTCACTTAAAACATTTACTCGGTTTCTAAGGAAGGCACAGAACAGTCCAGTGGGTGAAAGAAAGTCTCTTTAAAAAATGGCCTGACTGGGCCAGGCACGGTGACTCACATCTATAATTCCAGCAGTTTGGGAGGCCAAGGCGGGTGGGTTACCTGAGGTCGGGAGTTCAAGACCAGCCTGGCCAACATGGTGAAACCCCGTCTCTACTAAAAATACAAAAATTAGCCGGGCATGGTGGCGGGTGCCTGTAGTTCCAGCTACTCGGGAGGTCGAGGCAGGAGAATCACCTGAACCTGGGAGGTGGAGTCTGCAGTGAGCCAAGATCACGCCACTGCACTCCAGCCTGGGCGACAGAGCGAGACTCCAACTCAAAAGAAAAAGGTCTGACTGACTGGGTATACACAAAAATTACCGTGATTCCTACTTCATGCATACGTAATAATTAATTTAGGAACGTAATAATTAATTTATTAACAGACCTTAATATAAAAGCTAACACCATAAAGCTTTTTAGGGGAGAGTATCTAAGTAGGAGAAGTTTCTTAGAGAAGACACAGAAACAATAAAAATAAAAGAGAAAATGATAAGCTAGACTTCATCATAATTAAGAAGACATCAGTAAGAAAATAAATAGGCAACCCACACACTGGGAATATTTACAAAATAGGAATCTGACAAAGGACTGATACTGAGATATGTAAAAAATTCCTACAACAGAATAATAAAAAGGAAGCAATCGAATGGATGAGCAAAATATTTGAATATATAAGGGAAGATAAATGAACAATAAGTACATGAAAATTGTTAAATATCATTAGTCTGCAGGGACATGCAAATTAAAATCATAATTAGCTATCACTACATACTCACCAGAATGACTAAAAATAATAAATAAAAATAGGCACCAAATGTTGTCAGGGAAGTTGGTGGTGCGATACTTTCCCAAAAGATCTGGCAGTTTCTCATAAAATCAAACGGCCTCACCAAATGGCCCAGCCATTCCAATCCTAGTAATTTACCCCAAAGAAATAGAACACAGTCACGTGTTGCTTAATTATGGGGCTACATTCTGAGAAATGCATTGTGGGAACTTCAAAGGGAGTGCTTACACAAAACTAGACAGTACAGCCTGTGGCGCCCAGGCTGCAAAACCAGACAGCCAGCCTGTGACTGCACTGAATACTGGAGGCAGTTGTAACACAATGGGAAGTACTTGTGTATCTAAACATAGAAAAGGTAAGTGAAAATGTGGTAGGAAAGATTACAAATGGCACTTCCATAGGGCACTTAGCACAAATGGAGCTTGCAGGACTGGAAGCGGCTCTGGGTGAGTCTGTGAGTGGGTGGTGAGTGAATGTGAAGGCCTAGGACATCGCCGTGCGCCACTGCAGACTTTATGAACACTATACACTTAGGTTATACTAAACCTATTTAAAAATCATACTTTCTTCAATAATAATTAACTTACTACAACTGTTTTACTTTATAAATGTTTTAATTTTTCAAAACTTTTTGACTCTTGTAATAATGCTTGGTTTAAAACAAACACATTGTACACCTATACAAAAGTATTTTCTTTCTTTATATTCTTATTTTATAAGCTTTTTTCTACTTTTAATTTTCTTCTTCTTTTTTTTTTTTTTTAACTTTTTAAACGTTTTTGTTAAAAACAAAGACAGAAACACACACATTAGCCTAGGCCTGCTCAGAGTCAGGATCTTCAATGTCACTGCCTTCCACCACGTCGTGTCCCACTGGAAGGTCTTCAGGGGCCACAACATGCACGGACCTGTCGTCTCCTATGAGAACAGTGCCTTCTTCTGGAATCCCTCCTGAAGGACCTGTCTGAGGCTATTTTACAGTTAACTTAAAAAAAAATAAGTAGAAGGAGTACATTCTAAAATTATGACAAAAAGCATAGTAAATACATAAATCAATAACATATTCATTTATTATCATCAACTATTATGCACTGTACATAATTGTGTGTGCTATATTTTATATAACTAGTAGTATAGTAGGTTTGTTTACACCAGCATCACTATGTACATGTGAGGAATGCATTGCACTATGATACTATGACAGCTACATTAGTAGGTGATAAGAATTTTTCAGTTACATTATGATCTGCAGTGAATATTTATTTATATGATTGTAAAATTTATATGATTGCAAAATTGAGGCTGGGCACATTGGCTCATGCCTGTAATCCCGGCATTTTATGAAGCCAAGGCTGGAGGATCACTTGATGTCAAAAGTTTGAGACCAGCCTGGGCAACATAGCGAGACCCTATCTCTCTGTAAAATTTTAAAAAATAATAAAAAATTAGCTGGGTGTGGTGGTACATGCCTGTAGTCCCAGCTACTTGGGAGGCTGCGGTGGGAGGAGCCCTTGAGCCCGGGAGTTGGAGGCTGCAGTGAGCCATGATAGCACCACTCTACTCTAGCCTGGGCAACAGAGTGAGACTTTGTCTCTAAAAATAAATAAACAAACACAAATAATTTTTAAAATTGTAAATGATATTTACTGACTTTAGATTTTCTGGATTGATGTAGGCCAAGGACCTCATATGTAATCAGAGTTTCAGGATAACATGCTAACATTTCACATCTTGACAATGTCAAGCAATGTTATAGCTGACAGTTTTAGGAAATGTAAGAATGGAAGAAATGTGGAGAAAAATGTACTTATTTATTTTAAATAAGATAAAAATTAACTGGCTGGGCACGGTGGCACACACCTGTAATCCCAGCACTTTGGGAGGCTGAAGTGGGCAGATCACGAAGTCAAGAGATGGAGAGCATCCTGGCCAACATGGTGAAACCTCGTCTCTACTAAAAATACAAAAAATTAGCCGGGAGTGGTGGCGGGCGCCTGTAATCACAGCTACTTGGGAGGCTGAGGCAGGAGAATCGCTTGAACCCAGGAGGCGGAGGTTGCAGTGAGCTGAGATCGCGCCATTGCACTCCAGCCTGGTGACAGAGCGCGACTCTGTCTCAAAAACAAAACAAAACGAAAACAAAAACAAACAAACAAAATTAACTAAAGAGAAGTGAAGAGAATGAAGGAAAAATATAATTAAATTCCTTATCTTTATAGTGAAATCAGTAAATGAAGAAATAGAAGGGCAAGAATATTAAGTTTATGGAGGTAATCTTGAGAATTACAGGTAACACCTATCAAAAGAGAGACATTGCCGCTGCAACTGGGATCAAGGTGAAGGATGGGAAGGAAGTTTGGATGTTTTGTTTTTTACCTTTCTGTACTGTTTGAAATGTTTCTATTTGATGTATTACTTGTATAATAAGCACTTGTAGGGCATAAGAGTATGAGTCATAATATACATAGTCATATTTTGGTGGTAGATTTTACAAGGAATATACCAATGCATTTGAAAGTCATCTGCTATTAATGTTGCTCATACATTTTAATGTTTCTTCTATACAGCAGAATCATGAGACAGACTTTGCCTTATATCTACTTTTGGTGGGGACTTTTGCCCTTTGGGATGCTGTGTGCATCCTCCACCAACAAATGCACTGTTAGCCAAGAAGTTGCTGACTGCAGCCACCTGAAGTTAACTCAGGTACCCGATGATCTCCCCACAAACATAACAGTGTTGAATCTTACCCATAATCAACTCAGAAGATTACCAGCCGCCAATTTTACAAGATATAGCCAACTAACTATCTTGGATGTAGGATTTAACTCCATCTCAAAACTGGAGCCAGAATTGTGCCAAAAACTTCCCATGTTAAAAGTTTTGAACCTCCAGCACAATGAGCTATCTCAACTGTCTGATAAAACCTTTGCCTTCTGCACGAATTTGACGGAACTCCATCTCATGTCCAACTCAATCCAGAAAATTAAAAATAATCCCTTTGTAAAGCAGAAGGTAAGATGAAAATGTCTATTGTTACTAATGTTTTAAAGTCACTTATCCATCCTTAGACTTACTATCTAAACATCGAAGTAAGAAAAAGGAAGAAATTTGATCTAATCCAATTTGCCACAAATATTGCCATTATAATAGAAAATGCTTCCAAAAGAGAAAATGTACTCTTAAATCAGTTTCATCCTTAATTTTCAATGTTTGCCTCTCTCGCTTTTTCCCATTAGAAACAGAACTTAGATGCAAGAGGCAGAAGTAATGAACAGAGAAGAATCAGAATATCCCATAAGAACATGGACACTAAACTTTCAATGCTGCTGATTTAGTATGTGAAGTCATGAAAAAAGTCTAGAGTCCAAAGTCTGACTTAAATAAAATTAACAAATTGATACAATGATCAAGTGAATTGTTCAACTAAAAATTACCTACTCCTGGTTTAAGAAATCTCCTCAATGGCTATTTCAATGACTTGTTCAATAGTGGTGTCACTTTTTCAATGACGGCTACCTTTTTCTTTTCAGCACTTTGCTTGAATTTTAGTTTTTTTTTTTTCTTTTCTTTTTAGTTGACATTTAATAATTGTACATATTTATGAGATCTAGAATGCAGATCTTTCAATATGTGTATACAATGTGTAATGATTAAATCAGGGTGATTATCATATCCATCATCTCAAATGTTTCTCATTTGTGTTGTGAACATTCAAAATACCCTCTTCTAGCTTTTAAAAAATATACAATAAATCATAGTTAACCATATTCACCCTACAATGCTTTAGAGCACCAGAAAACAAACAAATAAACAAACAAAACGCACGCTATTGTTTCTAAATCTGAGGCAATTATTAAGTGTTTTTCTTTAACCAAAGTGATTTTCAAGTTACTTCATTTTATGGCCTTACAAAAAATTGAGCATTGCTCTTCCTCAGATGCCAAGAATAGTCTACAAATGTAAATATGCTGTAAAACATAAAGTGATTTGCTCCCTGGCTATTTTAAATCTTCTCTTGGGTGTTCTTAGAGTCTAATGTGGATGAAATATCTTCAAATACAAAGGCCTCAAAATCTTGCTAGAGAAGTCATTGTAAAATGTTATTTTTGTAAAGACTTAAATTAAAAAACTTGCTTCTCGTTAATAGAGATTACATTAGATTTTGCCTTAACTGGTATCATCAACTTTTTCTTACCTTTTGCCTGAATTTGAAGCGTACATATTCAAAAGTAGCAAAGGGTGATAAAACATCCCACAGTACTGACAAGCAAACAAAAGTTAATATTCTGTACTAGTCATGATCCAAAATTTATATAACTATGAATCTTTCTCAGTATAAAAATCTATTTAAAATTTCATAGATGGCAAAATTCTACTCATGTTTTTAAAGAAAACATTCTGTTCTTTTTTCTGATACTTATTTTCAAGGTTAATGCATGACACTGTGTTTGATAAGCCACGTGAAAATCCTTGCATCATAAGTAAATGGTTATGAAAAATAAGTTTATAAATTAGCAATGTTCCTTATATCATAAGTAAGCTTAAATCCTTCTTATTTTGGTAAGAGAAATAAAATGATTCTTGAAGAAATAAAATCCTTCCTACAATGGTTTCAAGGGTAACCATCACAAAGATTATAACATAACAAAGATTAATCAGAACAAAGATTTTTTATTATGCTTACTGTTAGTATTCTACAGAATGATACAGAGGTGTTGATTTTGTTGTTGAAATATTTTTAAGACGTACTTACATTTAAAAGAACTGTTTTTGACACCAAGACTCTAACATATGCTTATTATTTTTTCCCTTCAGAATTTAATCACATTAGATCTGTCTCATAATGGCTTGTCATCTACAAAATTAGGAACTCAGGTTCAGCTGGAAAATCTCCAAGAGCTTCTATTATCAAACAATAAAATCCAGGCACTAAAAAGTGAAGAACTTGGTATCCTTGCCAATTCATCTTTAAAAAAGTTAGAGTTGTCATCGAATCAAATTAAAGAGGTAAGAAGTAAGCTAAAACTATTTTGCATTCTGCCTTTAAGGTGGGTAGTCCCTATCTGTGTCACAGACACAGGAATCTGACGTTCTGTAGCCTTTGCCTGTCTTCCAGCATATTCCTTCACACCTACTGCTTGGGGTCATTGGTGCCACCCTCGTGAGAGCTCAGGCAGCCCCAGGAGAGGTCGGGAGACGGGACTCTGCAGTCCTGCAGTACTGGGTGGAACCCCCGTGCCATGACCTTGGGAACATCCTTAACCTCTCTGAGTCTGTGTCCTCACTTGCAAAGTGGAAATAGTGCTCTCTGTCACACAAACTCTCTGAAAGAATTAATAATAAAAGAGTACGATGGTCAAGAGCCCCAGGTTCACAGTTGGGTTAGCTGGCCTGGTCTCTGGGCTTTGTCTTTTAACCATCGTGTTATCAGGCAAGTTATTCAAGTTCTCCCTCTCCAGCCTCCCAGCTTTCAAACGGGCGTGATAATGACTACCTCACAGGACTGTATGGTAAAGAATTTAGGACCGTGTCTCGCATAGGCAGGGCTCAGGAAATGACAAGCAGCACTATGTTGTTATAAAAACCTTCCTACAATGAAGTCAGCTTAAATCACTGACAGGACTATCTCTTTTTGGAATCATGATCTTCAGGCTAATCATTTGCTGTCACGGGGGAGCAACAACTATCTGGACGGGTGGCACAGGGGTGAAAGAATTTACCAAGACAGTTGTAGGTGGAGAAAGGCACGTTTGTTAGTGAAAGTAGGAAACTACATTGCGAGAAGGCAACGGGCATTTCAGCAAGCGAAGCTGACTGCAAAGAAACAAAGGCTGCTGGGGATTTTACAGGATTATGTTTATGCTGAAGAGGGCTCTGTGCAGCACGGACAGTGCCCAGGTTGCAGTGGGCTAACTCGCAGGGCCTGGGGATAGCTGGGCACAGGAAGATTGTCTGTTATTCGCACAGGAGGGCTATGTGTCCTGGATCATGAAGAAAGAAATAACTTACCTGCTCTTTTGCTTTCTCTCGGTCCTGTCGACTGACTCCTTTTCCCTAAATAGGATTCCGCATTTTCATATACAGGTTGTCTGTATTTTACACTCATTTTGTTCCAGGCTACAAGACTACTGGAAATCCTTCCTTACAACTCTATTCATTTTCAGACATAAAAATAAATGGCGTACAAATTTATCCTGAGATATTAAGATGTTTTGTGCAAGCTATTCATTTTATTTTTTTAAACAGCATTTTCTATGATTAAGACATTTATTATAGTAATGGTATTAAATATATCAATAAATGAGACACAATAATAATAAGGGGTGATTAAAAAAAAATCACTCAAATGTCCATAGTCAGAAACAACCACGGTTAGCATTTGGGTACATTTATCCCTGGCTTTTCTCCAAATAATTATAAGGAAAAACAACAGCTTAAATTCTTACTGTACTGAAATTCATACTGTTTTTTTAAAATCCTTAAGGCACTTAACTGTGTGTCAAGTACTGTGATAAATTTTTAAAAATATTTTATGTATATAGTAGTTTTAATCAACTTATTCTTAGTTTCTTTTATTTTATTTTATTTTTTGAGACTGAGTTTCGCTCTTTGTTGCCCAGGCTGGAGTGCAATGGCACGATTTGGACTCACTGCAACCTCCAACTCCCAGGTTCAAGCTATTCTCGTGTCTCAGCCTCCCGAGTAGCTGGGATTACAGGTGCCCACCACTACGCCTGGCTAATTTTTGTATTTTTAGTAGAGACGGGGTTTCACCGTGTTGGCCAGGCTGTCGCGAACTCCTGACCTCAGGCGATCCGCCTGCCTTGGCCTCCCAAACTGCTGGAATTACAGGCATGAGCCACTGCATCTGGCCTAATCAACTTATTCTTAATTGTCATTTTCACAAAAGAAAACTGAGTGAAGAAAGTTAACGTGACATATCTCAGGCCCCACAGGATCCACCTGGACAGAGCTGGGTTTCTGGCTCGCTGGGACCGGAGGCCCTGCTCCTAACAGTTATGCTATATCGCCCACTGAAGAGCATGATGTCTCCTGCTCTTTAGATTTAATATGATATCATGAACATCTCCCATACAATTAAGAATCATTCCAAAAGCTAAATTTTACTGCCTGTAAAATAGAGCCATCATGTAGATTTATCATACTTAATTTCATAATTTTCGGCTTTGCATTTTAACTCATTTGTTTATGATAAAGCACCCTTTCTTCAACACTTCTCTTTTTTCCCATTAGCCTTACCGTCCCCCAAGTGACACATTACAAATCAGAGCCCCTCCAGGCTGGGTGCGGTGGTTCACGCCTGTAATCCCAGCAGTTTGGGAGGTCGAGATGGGGGTGGATCATGAGGTCAGGAGTTCAAGACCAGCCTGGCCAGCATGGTGAAATCCCGTCTTTACTAAGAATACAAAAATATTAGCCAGGTGTGGTGGCAGTCGCCTCTAATCTTAGCTACTCAGGAGGCTGAGGCAGGAGAATCGCTTGAAGCCAGGAGGCGGGGGTTGCAGGGAGCTGAGATCGCCCCACTGCACTGCAGCCTGGGGGACAGAGCAAAACTCTGTCTCAAAAAGAAAAGAAAAGAAAAGAAAAGAGTGACTTCATGGCAGTCCATGAGTGACTTCATGAGCAGTTTATTCATTGCAATTGTTCTCATGGTGATAAAGAAAAAGTACCAGGAGATTGATCCTGGACTGGAAGGTCAGAGAAGGCTCCTTGAAAAGGTGGCATCTAAGCTGAGGCTATGAATGCTGAGCAGAAGCTAGCCAGTGGCCAGGGGAGTCAGAGGTTGGAGCAAGAGGTGGGCGCTGTAAGGAAGGACTCGTGCATTAGAGGAAGGGGGAGAAATGCTCTGCCCACAGGATGTGGTGAAGGGTGAGTAGAGATGGAGTAAAGAACTGCATTGAGTCGGGCGCAGTGGCTCATGCCTATAATCCCAGCACTTTGGGAGGCCGAGGCGGGTGGATCACAAGGTCAGGAGTTCGAGACCAGCCTGGCCAACAGGGTGAAACCCCGTCTCTACTAAAAATACAAAATTAGCTGGGCATGGTGGCGGGCGCCTGTAATGCCAGCAACTCAGGAGGCTGAGGAAGGAGAATTGCTTGAACTCGGGAGGCAGAGGTTGCAGTGAGCTAAGATGGCTCCACTGCACTCTAGCCTGGGCGACAGAGTGAGACTCCATCTCAGGAAAAAACGAAAACAAAAACAAAAACAAAAAAACAGAACTGCATCTAAGCTTTTCAACAGCCTTACAGAGTCATTGCTTTTGATTGTTAACCTCTTTTTTTCTACCTTTAGTTTTCTCCAGGGTGTTTTCACGCAATTGGAAGATTATTGGGCCTCTTTCTGAACAATGTCCAGCTGGGTCCCAGCCTCACAGAGAAGCTATGTTTGGAATTAGCAAACACAAGCATTCGGAATCTGTCTCTGAGTAACAGCCGGCTGTCCACCACCAGCAATACAACTTTCTTGGGACTAAAGTGGACAAACCTCACTATGCTCGATCTTTCCCACAACGACTTAAATGTGATTGGTAACGATTCTTTTGTTTGGCTTCCACATCTAGAATATTTCTTCCTGGAGTATAATAATATACAGCATTTGCTCTCTCACTCTTTGCACGGGCTTTTCAATGTGCGGTACCTGAATTTGAAACGGTCTTTTACTAAACAAAGTATTTCCCTTGCTTCGCTCCCCAAGATTGATGATTTTTCTTTTCAGTGGCTCACATGTTTGGAGCACCTTAACATGGAAGATAATGACATTCCAGGCATAAAAAGCACTATGTTCACAGGATTGATAAGCCTGAAATACTTAAGTCTATCCAACTGCTTTACAAGTTTGCAAACTTTGACAAATGAAACATTTGCGTCACTCGCTCACTCTCCCTTACACACACTCAACCTAACCAAGAATAAAATCTCAAAAATAGAGAGTGGTGCCTTCTCTTGGTTGGGCCACCTACAAGTACTTGACCTGGGCCTTAATGAAATTGGGCAAGAACTCACAGGCCAGGAATGGAGTGGTCTAGAAAATATTTTCGAAATCTATCTTTCCTACAACAAGTACCTGCAACTGACTAAGAACTCCTTTGCCTTGGTTCGAAGCCTTCAACGACTGATGCTCCGAAGGGTGGCCCTTAAAAATGTGGATTGCTCTCCTTCACCATTCCGGCCTCTTGGTAACCTGACCATTCTGGATCTAAGCAACAACAACATAGCCAACATAAATGATGACATGTTGGAAGGTCTTGAGAAACTAGAAATTCTGGATTTGCAGCATAACAACTTAGCGCGGCTCTGGAAACACGCAAACCCTGCTGGTCCTGTTTATTTTCTAAAGGGTCTGTCTCACCTCCACATCCTTAACTTGGAGTCTAATGGCTTTGACGAGATCCCAGTTGAGGTCTTCAAGGATTTATGTGAACTAAAGATCATTGATTTAGGATTGAATAATTTAAACACACTTCCAGCGTCTGTCTTTGATAATCAGGTGTCTCTAAAGTCATTGAACCTTCAGAAGAATCTCATAACATCAGTTGAGAAGAAGGTTTTTGGGCCAGCTTTCAGGAACCTGAGTAACTTAGATATGCGCTTTAATCCCTTTGATTGCACATGTGAAAGTATTGCCTGGTTTGTTAATTGGATTAACAAGACCCATGCCAACATCCCTGAGCTGTCAAGCCACTACCTTTGCAACACTCCACCCCACTATCATGGGTTCCCAGTGAGACTTTTTGATACATCATCCTGCAAGGACAGTGCCCCCTTTGAACTCTTTTTCATGATCAATACCAGTATCCTGTTGATTTTTATCCTTGTTGTACTTCTCATCCACTTTGAGGGCTGGAGGATATCTTTTTACTGGAATGTTTCAGTACATCGAGTTCTTGGTTTCAAAGAAATAGACAGACAGACAGAACAGTTTGAATATGCAGCATATATAATTCACGCCCACAAAGATAAGGATTGGGTCTGGGAACATTTCTCTTCAATGGAAAAGGAAGACCAATCTCTCAAATTTTGTCTGGAAGAAAGGGACTTTGAGGCAGGTGTTTTTGAACTGGAAGCAATTGTTAACAGCATCAAAAGAAGCAGAAAAATTATTTTTATTATAACACACCATCTATTAAAAGACCCATTATGCAAAAGGTAGGTAAACATTGTGAAATTTTAAGTGTGTACTTGCTTTTCAATTAAACTTTTTTTTTTTTTTTTTGGATGGAGTCCCACCCTGTTGCCCAGGCTGGAGTGCAGTGGTGTGATCTCAGGTCACTGCATCCTCCACCTCCCGGGTTCAAGTAATTCTCCTGCCTCAGCTTCTCGAGTATCTGGGATTACAGGTGCGTGCCCCCACACCTGGCTAATTTTTGTATTTTTAATAGAGATGGGGTTTCACCATGTTGGCCAGGCTGGTCTTGAACTCCTGGCTTCAGGTGATCTGCCCACCTGCCTCCCAAAGTGCTGGGATTCCAGGCATGAGCCACCACACCCAGCTTCAATTAAACTTTTAAATATTACCAATATTACTCAACTCAAAGAATTTTAAAAATAAAATTAAGAAAAAAAACCCCTGAGTTTCAGTAACAGCTTAAACTCTGTTACAGACTATTTTAAATAGTAGTGATTCTGGCTGTTAAGAACTGTGTATTAATTCTTCGATACTTTTCTTTACTTAGATTCAAGGTACATCATGCCGTTCAACAAGCTATTGAACAAAATCTGGATTCCATTATATTGATTTTCCTTGAGGAGATTCCAGATTATAAACTGAACCATGCACTCTGTTTGCGAAGAGGAATGTTTAAATCTCACTGCATCTTGAACTGGCCAGTTCAGAAAGAACGGATAGGTGCCTTTCATCATAAACTGCAAGTAGCACTCGGATCCAAAAACTCAGTACATTAAATTTATTTAAATATTCAATTAGCAAAGGAGAAACTTTCTCTATTTAAAAAGTTCCATGGCAAATTTAAGTTTTCCATAAAGGTGTTATCATTTGTTTATTCATATTTGTAAGTGATTATATTCTATCACAATTATATCTCTTCTAGGAAAATGTATCTCCTTATTTCAGGCCTATTTTTGACAACTGACTAAATTGTACCCAAAATAAACACAGAAGCACATAAGAACATTCTCTACTGATAAATACACGATCTGCCACTGAGCCTGTGACAACTTAAGGAGTTTTAAAACATTTCTCATTTTTAGAAAAGTTAGAGTTACATTAGTGTTTGTGATGATCTTTTCGTTTTTTGGATACACTTGAAAGATAATTGTTTCAATGGGTATACTGCTATTTCCTTTGTAAAAGAGTAAAATATATACCCATATTTTTAACAAGTTTAATTACGGTATTTTTTCAATGGAAACACTTTGTATTTTAGTAAGTACTTATCTCAGTATTGATTTCGTTAAATGTTAAATATTTTTTAATATGCATACCCAAGGGCAGAAAACATTTGCAATTCATTTTTATTAATGAGATGATTACTTGAATATTGACTTGTATTTTCCTGAGATATGAGTTTCTGCTGTGGGAGGGTAGAAACAATTCTCCTACTAAAAGTATTGTGGGCAGGCTTGCTTTCTGAAGGCTAATCAGTAACTGGCTTTGTGGAAACAGAACCTTCCTCCCATGGTTACAGACTCAGGAGACGGCATTGGCGAAATCACTTGGGCTCACTGGGATTCTTTGACTCCTGATCTTGAAAATTATGATAATAAATAGCATCTTAGATATTCCTATATAATTAGTGATGATGATCACTGTATAATATATTCACAGGAATGTATTATTTTACCATAAAATAATATGCCATGTATAAGGTAGTCCTTATCTAGAAAGACTATTTTTATTTTTTTGTCTGTTTTTTATTCGTTGGTTTGTTTTTGAGACGGAGTCTGGCTCTGTCGCCCGGGCTGGAGTGCAGGGGCCCAATCTCCGCCCACCACAATCTCCACCTTCTGGGTTCAAACTATTCTCCTGCCTCAGCCACCAAGTAGCTGGGATTACAGGCACATGCCACCATGCCTGGCTAATTTTTGTATTTTTAGTAGAAATGGGGTTTCGCCATGTTGGCCAGGCTGGTCTCGAACACCTGATCTCAGGTGATCCACCCGCGTTGGCCTCCCAGAGTGCTAGGATTACAGGCATGAGCCACCATGCCCGGCCTTTTTATGTTTGTTTTACAATACAACAAAAAAGTTTTCAGTTTTACAATAAAAGAGAGTCTGATTATTGGAAATAGACCTGAATAGCTTTTTGAAATATTTATAGTTCCAGTATTTAAAGAGAAACCTGAAATTATAAGGCTGAGTTAATTTCTATACCTGAAATGTTCACTTGTCTGCTGAATTCAAGGAGCATTTGAGATGTCACATTTTGGAACTTTGATTTAAATAAGTCATTATTCTCTTTTTCTTTTTTTGAGATGGAGTCTCGCTCTGTGGCCCAGGCTGGAGTGCAGTGGTGCGATCTCCGCTCACTGCAAGCTCTGCCTCTTGGGTTCATGCCATTCTCCTGCCTCAGCCTCCCGAGTAGCTGGGACTACAGGCGCCCGCCACCTTGCCCGGCTAGTTTTTTTTTTTTTTTTGTATTTTTTAGTAGAGACGGGGTTTCACCGGGTTAGCCAGGATGGTCTCGATCTCCTGACCTTGTGATCCACCCGTCTCGGCCTCCCAAAGTGCTGGGATTACAGGCTTGAGCCACCGCAACCGGCCCCCAATAAGTCATTATTCTCAAGGCTGATTTCCATGAGCCTGGAATGAGACATATCCACTGCGCCGCTGGTTCTGAAGAGTCTCTAGCCGGCCAACACTGTGAATGGGTGGAGGACTAATTATCACTTTCATGTTATTTGTCAACCTGACAGCTGAGACACTGCTTTTCAGCATTTTAGTTAAGATTTGCTTTTTAACTGTGCGATAATCCTGTTTTATTTTGGCATTATAAAATAAAAATCACAGCTTCTGCTTTTCTTATATGCTTTGTGTGTTATCAATATTCTCAACTATTCATAAGATATTTTAAATAAATTATTGTTAATTAGTCAATATATCAAGTTGCTTAATATGTCACATTTCAATGCTATTTAATATATAATATCTATATTTAATATGTTGATACGTTGCTGGTAGAGTGTGTTCAGGTTCTTGCTGCTTTGAACAAAGAATTGGACAAAATGCACAAAGAAGGAGGCAACAAAAGCAGAGATTTACTGAAAACGAAAGCACACCACGCAGGGTGGGAGCAGCCCGAGCAAGCAGCTCAAAAACCGGGTTACAGAATTTTCTGGGGTTTAGAGGCTTCCACTGGTTACTTGGTGTATGCCCTATGTAAACGAAGAGGCTAAAGTGAAGTTACAAAGTTATTTACTTGGTGTGCACCCTATGCAAATAAAGAGGGTATTTCCTGCCATAGCTGAGCTAGCGTTACAAAGTTATTTACTTGGTGATAGAAAGTTGGGATTTTCCCCCTTGATTTACTTCTAGGAAGCCTTTAGGTTCCCTGCCTCCAGACTCTATTCTCCTGCCTCAAATATATCAATGACATATTAAATACATCATTAAGTTGCTTAATAGTTAAGAGGTTAAGATGCACCTCTAAATGAATACCAATAAAACTAGGAAAAGGTGTAAACTCTGACTCCTCTCTGACCTAGGTAGGAAGTAACATCCAGAACTTCTGCAGGCTGTCCTGTGTAATTGTTCCCAGGAGGAACCCTTGTCCCCGGGGTTTGAGAGAAGGGGATTGAGGAAAAGGATGTTTGACCTCTTCTTTGATTTGCCCAAGTGACTTGACTTGTTTGAATCCTCTCATGGTGCCATCATGTTATCTGTTCACTCCAACTTCTTCCTGTTTTTCACGTTGCAAAACAAAACCTAACTGAATCAACATTGAGTTTAAAATAAATCTTGGTATTTAGTTCTACCTAAAAATAACTTTTAGATTGTAATCAGAAGTAGATGCTATCAATTTGTTAGTGAGGAGGGGAGGAGTTTTCAATGCCACTTAGTTAACAACGTTTAATTGTTCAAATATACATCTTAGGTCGTAAAGGAAACTCAATGGTAAGTTACAGTGACCATTCAAACATGTAAAGGGGCTTCAAATCAAGAACTTAGAAGGCATTTCTTGCAATCTATTGAGACACAAAGCAGATTAGCAGTTGTCTGGGCCTAGGAACAGGAATGGGGAGTGGCTGCAAATTGGCGGAAGAAACCTTTTACAGGTGAAGAAAATGCTCTAAAATTGGGTGATGGTAATAATTGTACAACCATGTAAATTTACTGAAAGTCATTGAGGTGGATACTTAAAACAGGTGAATTTCACGATAGGTAAGTTACATATTCACAAAGCCATTAAAAATAGTCTCTTCTGAGCAGCTACAGGTGCCTAGCCCAGTGCTAATTACTGTAGCGAACAGCAAGATTGGATTTAGAATCTAGGTGAACAATAGAACCTGTCGGCAATAGAACCTGGGTGAAAAAGAATTTCAAAAATGGACCTGGGCACAGATGACTCCACAGAGGTGAAACAACCCCTTCTACCGTAGGTGACATTTCAGTGAGTGGAGATGGTCTCGCTGACTTCAAGAGTGAAGCCACAGACCCTCACGATGAGTGTTACGGTTCTTAAAGATGGTGTTATGGTTTTTAAAGGTGGTGTGTCTGGAGTTTCTTCCTTCAGATGCATTCGCAGTGTCTTCCTTTTGGTGGGTTCTGTGGTCTCCCTGACTTCAAAAGAAGAGCCACAGACCTTCACCGTGTTACAGCTCTTAAAAGTGGTGTAGACCCAAAAAGTGAGGAGCAGTAAGATTTATTGTTAGGAACCACAGAACAAGGATGCCACAACGTGGAAAAGAACCCAAGTAGGCGACAAACCTTCCACTGTACTGAAGAGAAAGCAAGTTAGTTGTTCCTGGCTAACTCGGGCAGCCAGCTTTTATTCCCTTATCTGACCCCACCCACATCCTCCTGATTGGTCCATTTCACAGAGAGCTGATTGGTCTATTTTACAGAGAGCTGATTGGTCCATTTTCCAGAGAGCTGATTGGACCATTTTGACAGGGTGCTGATTGGTGCATTTACGATTCCTGAGCTAGACATAAAAGTTACCCAATCCCCACTACATTCAGGATCCCCCCTGGCTTCACCTGGTGGATCCTGCACCAGGGCTGTGGGCGGAGCTGCCCTCCAGTCCCAAGCCGTGCCAGCTCTCCTCAGCCCTTGGGCAGTGGATGGGGCCGGGCACTGCCGGGGTGGCTCCGGCTATGTGGGAGCCCACTGTGGGGGAGGGGAGGCTTGGACATGACAGGCTGCAGGTCCGCAGCCCTGCCCCACGGTAGGCGGCCAAGGCCCAGTGAGAATTGGAGTGCAGTACATGTGGGCCAGCAGTGCTGGGGGACCCAGCCCAACCTCCGCAGCTGCTGGCCCAGGTGCTAAGCCCCTCATTGCCCTGGGCTGGTGGCGGGCCTGGCTGACTGCTCCCAGTGCGGGGCCGGCTGAGCCCATGCAAGTGCTCCCCCCTGGAACTCTTGCTGGCCCCCGCTGCCACCGGCGCCTCTCCCTCCACACCTTCCCACCAGCAGAGGGAGCCAGCTCCGGCCTTGACTAGCCCAGAGAGGGGCTCCCAGTGCAGTGGTGGGCTGAAGGGCTCCTCATGCGCTACTAGAGTGGATGCCAAGGCAGAGGAGGTGCCGAGAGTGAGGGCTGCTAGCATGTTGTCACCTTTCATTTAGATGCAATGTTTTGAAATTGTGACTTTATGGGTTTCAACTGGCAAACCCAGATATCAAGATGAAATTCCCTCCTGGGATCTATGCCTTAGATTTAGGTGTCAGCCAGTTAAACAGAGGAACATAGACTATAACTTCACAGTCCAAAGCCAGGCTGACTGTCACATAACAAAAGAGGCTTTAAGCACTTTTTTTTTCTATAAACATATACATCTGTGTTAAAATAACAAAGGACAGTCACTCATTAGTTACTAATTACACTAGGTGACATATTAGCTACTCTTGGCTCTTGTAACTCTCTAGCCTTGCTCCATTGTCCTGTTTACGGGAGAAAAGAGTTATGCCATGTGGCTATTTTCACAAACCATTCTTTATTCTTTGTGTGCATT